CTCCCTACGATGCTTGCTCCCATCACCATATATTGACTTTCCATTGGCAACAGGCAACACTGCCCTTCTAGCCTCTTCTTGCACTTGTATTGATCACATTGACAGTACAAGAAAAGATGGTACAGAAGCATGTATTGTAAAGTACTGAGCCGTATGCCAGTTTCCTGAAACATTATGTTGCCAACAGAGTGTTGCAAATGTGCGTGTCAGTAGCTTTTTGTGGGAGACATGCTAATCCATAGGGAGCCAACAAGAGATTACAAAATTTGATAATCATTCAATTTTGTTGGGGATGATATGCTGCAATCAATGGATCGATGCATATAATTATCCTTGTCATACTCCAGATGATTTGTTTATATATTATTCCCAGACCAGCTTTGCAGATATGTGGAAATGTTTCCATTGCTTTTGATACGTGCAACAATTCAACAGATTGCATTGCATGTGTGCTTGGGCTAGATCGAGTGGTTGACCTACTGTACCAGCAACCTAGAACGGTGCATTTGAGTTGCAGTATGGGATAACATCCCTCCATAGTATGGCAAGGAAAGGGCACATAGCCATTGTGGAGGTGCCGCTAGACAGAGACGCATCAGCACGCAATTGTAAATGTGGGCCAGTCCTTGGCATTGTTTTCTTGTGCATCCATATTTGTGCATTGTTTGATATTTTATATTTTGACACACATTTTGCTTGAGATTTAGCATTCAGTGTTTGTGTCATATCAGTGCACAATTAGGATCATAGGAGAAAACATTGTGGTATGCGGGCCCTTTATGGTGGTTGCATTGATGAATGCGTCTCTATCTAGAAGCAACTCTACAGTGGCTGTGTGTCCATTCCTTGTCACCTGACAGAGGGGTGTTATCGCCATTGTGAAAGCCAAATGCATCATTCCAGGCTATTGGGTACATGGCTCCAACCACTGTGCCTGGGTTGTACAAACATGCAATGTGACAAGGCAGATTGTTGTACGCAAATAGCAGCATTGCCAATGCAAGCACACTGGGTGCTGCTACAGGCAGGTATCGTACACAATGTGTATGAACACAAACTTGGTGACACTAGTTTTATGATCAAACATATTGTACCACAATGCACATTCACTACCCAACACAATGGGCCAATTTTGTATTTGAGACCACTTGCTAGGCGTCATTATGTCTCAAAACTGCGCACAAGTAGCACTGTAGATAGCAGTGTTGTGTGCGTGTGTGTGCGCATGCGCGTGCGCGTGCGCGTGTGCGTGTGCGTGTGCATGTGCATGTGCCCACTGAGCCACTTGCGTTGATTGGTACATCTCTGTCTAGGAGCATCTCCGCAACGGCCTTACGTCCATTCATTGTTTCTCAATGCCAATGCATTTGCCATCACTGACAAGCAAAGTGTGTACAACCTGGGATGTCTCGGCTAATTGCTTGGCGTTGATCCACTTGCCTCAAAGGCTGTGAAACACTCTTGCGTTGGGCAAGAAGGAATGGACACACAGCCACTGTGGGGGTGCTGCTAGACGGAAATGCACTGCTCAATGCAATGATTGAGGTGGGCCATGCATTTTGTTTTCTCATGAAACTTTATTTTGCGCATTGGTTTGGCACACATACATACCCAGAGAAGCTGACAATCACGTTAATTGTTTCCATATTTTGTGGCAATATTCGCCTGAGCAGGAAACCATCATATGGTCACAAGTAAGGGTAGTTAGTGAATCATCAAGTAGTCGCCTAAACAACATTAAACCTGAGTGGTGAACCAGTTTAGGTTAAAGGTCGTTACTAGGTGCATCCTAGACTATGGAACAATAGACACTATAGTCGATTGTATATATTTGATTAGGAGTGTAATACCGTATTTACCCGGTATTAGTAGGTGTATATTGGACCCCCAAAATGATCCAAGGAGTGGATAAAGATTTTTTTTAAAAGTAGGCCACGAAATGCCCCAAAATGGGCTTGAAACAATGCAAGATGCAGTGCACAAGTAGCAACATCACTGAGTCAAAGTTACAAAATCATAAGCACCACACTTCTGTCAGTGACAATGCTATTATTGAAAGTTGTCAGCCTCTTCATAGTAGCCTGCGGCTTGGACTTGGGGCTGCAGTAGGTGGGGACGACTGGTGATTTGGTCCAAAACAGTTCATTGGTATGCTCGAGGTTCGTTTTCCTTTGATGCAAAGAACGAGGATCACATGGGCCTCAACACAGCAGGGTGCCGTGCCTTGACAACGGGCTTGGCCCTGGCCATTTCCCGGGCTTAAGCCCGCTAGAATGGCTGATGGGATCTGTGATTGGGTTTATGGCTTGGTAGCCAATGTGGTGTGCGAATTGGGGGTGGGCCCTGCCTTCGTGGCGTGTTGCAGGCAGTTTTGTGAGGTGGGGGCTCACAATGACGGTCGCCCCAACTAGTGCTGTCGCCTAGCCATTCATGGTGTTGGACCCGCTCTGGCCGGCAGGGGGACCCAGTAGGTTGAGTCAATCCAAAAACCAAGGTACCTTGATTCTCGACTGCTTTTTGGATCGTGCCTCGCGGCGTCGCTTGCTGCCTAGCGATCATGCGCTGAAAGCCACAATGGCAGCCAGTCGACCCTGTAGCCTTTCATCGGCTTCCTTCCAAATTTTTACTCAATGGCATCCACCCCGCCCCGACCTTCCCCATCGATGCGTGAGTTGTAGGGAATGCAGTTTGGCCCAGACTAGGAAATGCAGCCGAACACCAGCCGCCTACAACCCTTGCCACCATCCGTGCCTTCACTCGTTTCTGCCTTACCGGTCTCCTGTGCCCACCCCATCATGTACCCCCATGACAATACTTACAAACAACCGTCAATGTCACTTCTCCTCAAGACTTGCCTTTTCGCCTCGCTAACACTTAAACGCCCGAGTGAGTGACTCCCCGTGAGTCAGCCCCCTTTCCCGAACTTCACTCCTGAAAACCACTCTCCGTCCCACAACTACCCACGAACTCCACTTTCCAGGGCAGGAGGGCTGGGTGCGAAACAAGATAAGGAGGGGGACCGAGGGGTTGCCTAAATAGCCGCCCCTCGCCGCCCCGCCAAAGCCCGCCAAACCCGAGGGCGCCATCCCTGGCAGCACCCCGTATTTTCATACTTTGACTGACCCACAGTACTAAGGGGGCCAGAAATCCCAAGGGACAGGAGATAAGTAAACCCCAGGATCAAACTGCAGCCCACCCGTCGTCCTTGGCAGAACCCATTAACAGGATAGTTAATTACATTTCTATTGAGGTTGGGGGATGGATACTAACACCAGGTCATGGATACTAACGTGGTTTTGATCCCCAAAGAGGGGCGTGGATACAAATATTGGGTAAGTACGGTAGGGGTAGCCTTATATGTGTGCAGCCAACTTGTGAAGTCTTAAGTCCAACTGAATAGAGCAATTGGCATTGCTGTTCCTGTCCCTGCTCTGCGTGGCATTGAATTGCCCCTTTCACGTGGTTTCTGCCCATGTGCAATTGTTGTTAATAATGTGCTTGCAGTGTAGACGCTGGTATTAAGTGCAATGCCACGTAATCTTTATAAAGGTAGGTTTTGATCATATGTTGTTTGTAAATTCTAGCCTGTGTACTTGCCTGTTTAGGTGCCATATTTGCCATTAGGGCACTCATTTCACCCACTGGTCAAGGAGGCAGCGGTGAGCAAGCCAAGGTTCGCCTGAGAGGGAAGTCTTGCACAATATGGGTATTCCTGACCCTCGTATGCAGTTGTTGAGGTTTTGCCCATCGCCCAATATGATACGAGGGACTGTGAAGATGATCAGGAAATTGTGCTCGAGTTCGGCAGGATGAAGCTTGTTTGAGTTGCAATCTTGTACTTGGTGTCACTGAAGCAATGTAATTGATGGACGTGAACCCTTGCACACATTGCCCCTGGATATGTGATACCGGGGCGTGTAAATGTGTTCGTCAGATGCCCACATGAGACAGTGTAACATGTTGCAACATAGTGCCTTCTCTGGGCACCGATCTAAATGTGCAGGTGCCTTTGGGCAAACAAATAGGCGAGCCTCTGTGCAGTAAGGAAGCACAGTTCATCAATGCACAGGTGCCCTTGCCACAGTGAGTCGCTAAGGTGAAAGGACAAGCACAAGTAGGTTCTGTTCTTTGCAAGAACACACGTCAACAGTTGACATAGCACACTGTCAACCAACGCGAGTACCAAAGACTTCTATCATGTATAAGTTGTTCAAGGCCGCCACGCGCGAGATCCTCTGGCCAAAGGTTTATTATGGTGTTATGGCGCCAAGCCACGTAAAACATGTGGGAATTTCTTTTCAGAACTGTTTGGAAATGCTGGTTTTCTGAAAGCTGCACATTAACGAATCATTATTGCCTGAGCCCAAAACTACAACAAACCAATGGAAGGAATTGTTGTGAGCCGGGCGTCGATGCCCCCTTCCCTTGTGAACGCACTGGGCACTAGGGATATCCCTAATTTGGCATTTTGGTCACCACACCTTTCCATACCACTACTGTTGTACAATTGTTGAAGAATCGAGTTCGGGATGCACCAGCAAGCACTCTACACTCTCCGCCGCGATGCAATCAGAAGTTCAAGATGTTCTCTGCGACGTTGAATATTGCCGATGCCACCAGGGCAATCAAACGGCACAGTTGCAAAACCACCTGACCGGAAGCGGTTTCGGCTGTACGCCTTGGTCCGCTTCCATGCGTGGCAAAGCGCCAGAACTCGTGCATGATTGCGTCATGAAGCAGGGCTGTTGATCCTGTTGTGGCATCAAGAGGGTTTGAGTCCTAAATGAAGCCGTGATTCATCAACACGACAAGGGGTGTTTTATGCTCCTTCCCAGCCCGTCCCCCTCGCCGTCCAGTTTTGATCCCTGAGGCAAGTTCTGACAATTTTTTCATCCGCCCTCCTGCACATCCCCGCACCACCCCCGCGTAGGCCATCCAGTCCGACACAGCGGCCGACCGCCTCCATCCAGCCGCCGCCCCACGGCGCCCCCGGCGTCCCCATGGCGGGCGACGGCCCCCCGCCACCCCCGCCCAAGCGCATGCACCTCCGCGTGTGCGTGCGCCTGCGGCCCATCTCCCCCGACGACTCCCCCCTCGTCGAGACGGAAAACCGCCTCCTGCGAATACGCGACCCCCACAGGGGCCACGCCAGCGAGTTCGTCTTCGACCAGCTCTTTCCGTCTTCGGCCGGCCAGGAGTTCGTCTACCAGGCCGTGGGGGCTCCTCTGGTGGAGCATGTACTGGGAGGGTACAACGCTTGCGTATTCGCCTACGGGCAGACGGGCAGCGGGAAGACGCATAGCATGTTTGGGGGTCCGGGAGGAGAGTGGGGAGAACGGGGGCTGACGCCAAGGGCGGCCGAGGGGCTGCTCCAAGGGGCGGCGAGGCTCGACGGGAGAGGCCAGGGGAGGGTGCAGATGTACGTGTCCTTTTTGGAGATCTATTTGGAGCACGTGAGGGACTTGGGGAGGGCGGCGGGGGCGCTGCTGCCGTCGGGGGCGTGGCCTGGGGGAGGGGGGAGGCGCAGCCGGCCGTCCAGCGCGAGGGAAGACAGGTGCGAGGACCTGGACATACTGGAGGACCCCTCGGGTCTGACCTTCGTCAAAGACCTCACGCACGTTCAGGTGGGGAAGATGGGATTTTTTACAGGATGCTGAGAATGGCTTCTCCCGCTGTCTATTGCGACTGTTGTGACTATTGGGTTGTTTCGTGGTGGGTACACAATGTCTGATTGGGAAGAAGAATTGTGTATATACCTCCTATATACCCCGCCCACACACACACACCAGTGCACTGCAGTTCCAAAGGTCCAAATGCACACCCCAAAGGTTTCACCCATTTGCAAATGTACACAAATAGGCTATCATGGCTGATGCCTGCAAATCTGAAGCAGGCAGTTTGAGTGCTGGCCAGCCGAAACAAAATTGCCAGAGTATTGTGTTGGGAAGCCCATTTCATATTATTCTACAAATCATCTCTTATTTACGGGCAATAGGAATTATTCAGGGGCATGGGGTCAGGTCGCTGCCGTGAGAACAGCTCCTGTGCCTTTGTAGTGGACGTTGCCATTTCTCGCGGCAGCTTGTGTCTGCCTGAAAGCGCACACAAAATGTCGATGGGCTTGCCTTGTTTGCATGCTGATTCAACACAATGCGGACCCCGACGTCTGCCAGTTGCGACAACACCCCGGGATCGGCTAGCCATGTACTATGTTGTTTTCATCTCTCCAATTTGCCTTCGTGCATCATCCACTTACTCATTGCCCGCGTTCCTACAGGTGAAAACCGTGGATGACGTCATGACAGTTCTGAACGCCGGCCAGGCCCTCCGCCAAACCGCCAGCACAGCTCAAAATGACGTGTCCTCCAGATCCCACACGGTGTTCACCCTCACGGTGGTGCAGCACCCAGACGCTGACGGTCCCGGGGGCGGGCAGCCCTTCGTTGGAAAACTGAACCTGGTGGATCTGGCGGGATCGGAGCGTCTGAACAAGAGCCACTCAGCAGGTGTCAGGTGCAGTGGGGAAAAGTGGCAAGACTTTCTTTTCAAGTTTGGGCAATTTGATGTTGTGTTTGAAGCTTGCCGGATCCTTGGAGGTGTTGCTCCAATTAAGTGGCATGGATTATCCTGGCATTGCCAGATGCCATGGCATGGAGGGGACCATGGAGACCCCCAGGGCCTTTGCACCGTCAATGGCCTGTCATTAAGGGTGCAAAGGCCCTCAAAAGCTGAAAACTGAAAATATTAAATCCGAGAATGGCTTTCATAGCCCTTGTGACCTCCATGTTCAGAAATGAATGACATTCGACAAATGTGCGCTACGAGTCTCTTGGATTTCTCCATTCTCAGCGCCTTTTAAAACGCACAGGCTGCAAGAGGCCAAGGCCATCAACACGAGCCTGACGGCTCTCGGCAAGGTCGTCATGAGCCTGAGCCACGAGGGGGACCACGGCCACGTGGCCTTTCGGGACTCCAGGCTCACGAGGATTTTGAAGGACAGCTTGAACGGCAACTCGTACACCACGCTGCTCGCAAACCTCAACCCCATCGCCGAGAACTACGAGGAATGCTTCAACACGCTGCAGTTCGCTTTGCGGTGCTCGACCATTCAGACCGTGCCCCACATCAACGTGCTGGTGTGCCCACTGCTCCAGTTGCTCATCTGGTGCTTAAATTTCAGCTGGTTCTTAATTATGCAGAAACAACACGCTGAAACGGCTCAATAGTCACAAATACTCTGATGAACTGGTTTGTGGAAGTAGTAACATGTGTACGCATGTATCGATACACATATACACATACGATGATACGTCACAGTTTTGGAACGCAAATTTCACTATGCTATTAGAATAGCTGTCCCTGTAAATACGGGCCAAGTCGTGTTGTTTATTACAGCGGAACGGAATCAAAATCGAACAAATTACGCCACTGCACTGGCGGATGTTACGTCCTGCGGCAGACAGCGGGCACTACTCAAGATAAGGTCATCGAGCAGCTGACGCGCAAGATAGAGGACCTCAAGGAGGAAATTGAGAGGATGCACGCCCACTACCAGAAACTGATCGAGCAGATCGCCGGTCCGGATTACACCAGGTCCCTGGGACTCCTCGAAATAGGTGCGCACATCTCTGAATGCCTTTTCTGGGACGCAACACAAACAAAAGCTCGTCCCGGCAGCTTGCTGCAAACTACAGGCTCTACTTTTTCTTCCATTAATTGACCTCATCTTGAGGCTTGTCGACCTGAGACCTCACATGAGATCCATATTTTGGAATGTGGTCGCAGGGCCCCCAGGAGAGGAACAGAATGAACAGGACGAAGGCGACGCTTACCGTGACGCCGTCGCCTTGCCTCCTGATCTCGGGAACACCAAATCTCGAGCGGCCAGCGCCGCGGGGACGCGCCCCGTTTCCGCGCGCGACTCGGAAGGCACGGCTGCCACCGGAGTGCGGAGCAGGAGGACAAGCAGGGCGCCTAGGGGAGGAATGTCCCTGCAGATGGTGCGTCATTCACTAGGAAAAAAAGGGCCAAACAACACTTTTGCGAACACACATAAAACACATTTTATCAAAGTTCTGCACGCTATTAACACAAGAAAACACAAACCATTAAATTTTGTGCACGTTTGAACACGTGTTATTTGGCCCTTTTTCTCCTAGTGATTTTTCGCACCATGCTAACCTGAAAGCGCCGTGAGCGATGCCGAGATGGGGACTAGATCATGAATTAATTTAGCGTTGCTGCTATGCAACGCATTATTATATACTGCGTCATATAGTGCATTATTTGTGCGAAGCACTGAAGTGGCACCCTGTTTCAAATTGCACTGGCAGATTCGGGGTGAAGCAAGCTGAGCGAATTTCTCCAACAAACGTTCGGGGTGAAATTGCGCCCGTAGGCGAATCACAATGCACCTGCGTTGTCCCAAAACCATTCGAAAAAAGTTGTCGGAAAACACGGCAAGCAGTAGTGCTTTGCTGTGTCAAGTAAAGTATTACCGTTTGCTACGTGGCCCTACTCGGTATTGATACAATGTATTGCGATCTTCCCTCCGCCATGGATGGTGCTGGACCTACCGAGTGCGTCGATTACATTGCCGTGCAATGACAAAACACAGCCCATGTACTTGAAAGGCGGTGACAGTCGTGGAAACAAGAAGAGTTTTGTTAGGAGTCGATTGTTCACGGCCCCATGTCCACTGAGTGCAGAACCGGCGATTTTACCGCATAATGGAAATTCAATCAATTGATGTTGCAGAAGCCTTGTCCCCGTACGCTCAGGTTGAGAACCAGAAGGCCCACCTCATGCACGAGCTCGAGAGGCAAAAAAGCTACGCCAAGGAATTGGAGGAACAACTTCGGCGGCATCGATCCGAGCTGGACGACATGAGGGAGAGGATGTTTAGGAGCGAGCAGCAGCAAAGGGCGGACAATCGTAGACTGAGAGAGAGTCTCCAAAAGGCGAGAGAGCAGGCCTTGGAGAAGGGCCAAGAGGGCGAATTCAACGTAATGCGAAATCAAGGGCGCCGTGGATAAGACAATGCTATAATTGGTGGATGTCAAATTTAGGAGCAGACATTATTTCTAATGAACCGCCGTGGCATCCACCTCATTCTGTCAGAGTCGTTTGTGAATTCAAATTCGCCACATCAGATATTGTCACTCTCATTTGAGCATTTTTACCCAACAAGATACCCTTGAAAAGCGAAGGCTTAACGGCGAGTTTGATTCTCAATTGCCTCGATGCATCTGCTGCGGCAGCTAGAGGAGCAGAAGAGAGTATTGGGCGAGGAGATCAACCGGCTGGAGGCCAGCAACGAAAAGCTGCGAGGGCAGCTGAACCACTTCACCACCTACATCGATGAGCTCACAAACGACCGGAACCGCGACGCGGCAAAGTTCAAGGAATCGGAGAGGCGCATGAAAGAGGGCGGGGAGATCAGATACAAGGTGTACGGCGCATGTCGGTCGTGTTTAGTAGGTGGGGACAATGAGCGACCCCGGGAGGCGGCGCTTATCAGCGTAGTGTTACCCGTGGTGGTCGTTATCCAAGGAGGGCGACTCCGCGGGCACAGCCAAGGATACCTTGCGCAGCGGAAAGGAAACGCCTGCTGTGTCTCTAGTTGCAATGAGAATCGTCAGCAATGAGTAAGAAGCAATTGGTCAGCCGCCAATTAATGAATCCTGGTCTGTTGATGTAATGCTCGAGAGAAGCACCGGTGATGGGTCAATCACCGGTTCTTCAATCGAGCATTCCATAAATCGTTGAATTGAATATTGGATCAATTGAGCAATCGGTCGTTCTCACAATAATGGACAGGCGCCTACGCAAACAAGCTCATGAATAAACAACAAGTAAGCATACAAACGAACAGGCAAATGAATGATGAATGAATGAATGGAATAATTAACAAAAATGCATTGACTGGTGAATGCAGCAACCCATTAGCTAATCGCGATTGCATTCAATAGTGCATGGACAGGCTTCTTATCTACGTTTACGTTTTCGCGTTTGCGGTGTCACGCGCAAAGCGTAAATTTGAAGAAGGGGCTAGTTTTGTTTACGTTTTTGCGGATCATTGTGGCACTCAGGCTGCAAGTCGCGCACGACGATCAGGACTCCGCCTATTCGACCACCGCAACACAGCGCCCACCTCGCCCTTGGCAAGGGCAACGGCGACGCGGAACAAATGTTCTTTTCTTACCCATTTCGGCTCGTCTGGATGCCACTCCCCGGACTCGCTGAGTCTGTATGTACTTCTTTTATGTATGCGAGGCTGTCTTTACGTATTTTATGCGTGTTTACACATAAAAAACGTAAAAAATTGTGGAGAAATGCGTAATACGATCAGTTTTTGCTGCGTAAATGGCAAGCCTGAGCATGGGCGCCAACGCTGTGGTATCCATGGCAACACGAAAAGACTTTTTCCTGAAGCTCTGCTGGTCGGTACAAATTCCACATGAATACGATTGTGCCGCGTCCGGCATTCACTGCAACCCGTCGATTGAAAATTTTCATTTGATAATGGAATTGAGTTGAGATGCAAAATTTTTGGTCGAAAGTCACCCGAGCCGTTTTCGAGTCTCGCAATTGTTCGGTACAAATTACCTGCAATGGGCGTTTCCGTGCGACTGCGCACATGATTGATTGTAATTTACACGTGTTGCAGAAAATGGCGGAGCAGGTCGAGAAAGACAGGGCCAGGGAAATTGAGAGCCTGACTCAACGCCACTCTCAGCTGCTCACGGCGAAGGAAAGAGAAGCCTCCGAGCTGCGAACACTCTTGGAAGACACCACTGCTCGAAGCACCGAACAGGTGCAGAATTGATTTGGCATCGCTCAAACCACAGCACTTCAGTATATGAGTATGAATATATGAATATTTATCAGTCGCAGTATGTTTAGAGTGTAGTTTTAAGGTACTTAAAAATATAATCTGGCTACCGTCGTGCAGAGTTTCTTGATCTAGGTCGAACGGGATGAAGTCCTGCCCTTGAAGCTCACCGAAGGGCAAGAAAGTATAACGATAAACAAATAATGCATAAGAAGGAAACACAGCACACCGAGGCAAGATGCTATTCCTCAACTTCGTGTATTTTCACAGAGAAAGGCGAAGTCACTGGTGCGTTTGAGCGCGCTGAGTTCCTTCCCTTTAAATTGTGGTCGACAGGTGAAGACCCTGAAAGAGGAGGTCGAGTACCTAACGCTCTACGCCAGACGCATGTGGCACATCTTCGAGGGCCTTTGCCAAGGCCGCTACCCCGTGCAGGTAAGACGAATTGAGCTAACGCTTTAGGGTGTAATGGAGATCATTGTGAGGCATCATCAAATATATCTGCAACGCGGCGATCCTTCGCATCAAAGGCAGTAGAGGCTTCCCAATAGGTGGCCTGCATCGTCAGAATACATCGCTTTCTGTTTTCCATTGCTCCTGCCCTTCTCTTGTCCAAGTCTTTGAGGCCTCTCACGTTCAGGAATCCTTGTTGCTCAGGCAGCTAGGGGCGTGAGGTCGTTACGAATACCGGCAGCGGACAGGCCTGAGAACCTGGACACGCCCCGAATGGAGCGGCTGCAGGCGAGCGTGGCGCGGGCAGGAGATTTCATTCTGGCTGTGGAGGGGAGAGGACTGGAGCAGGTGATGCCCGTAGAGGAGATCTTTTAAAATTGTCTATGGCGAGACAAGGCGGTGCGTTTACGGGTGCCCCACAGGGTGTAAGCTTGCACCTTGTAGGCGATGAGGGGGATATATGCATCCAAGGACATGGTGATGCCGGTGGATGCCGAAAAATCTCGATGATGCGCAGCGTGGGCAGATGATCCTGTACACGTGTGTGCAATTACAAATAGGCATTGTGCAACACCGATCGGGAAAAAGAGGGCAAATTAAGTAACAAGTTCAGTTGCTTATAGGTTAAGCATTAATTTTTGCACATACGTTGTGCCTGGAATCCGTGATGCATTTCGCACGTGCCTTTAAAACTTTCTGGCATACATAGATTAAATTTCATTGGGCGTTTCTCCGTACTTGTCGACGGGGTCTCTTTCGCTCAACCTCGCTCATCTTACGCCCTGGGAGTGGCGCGATTCAGGCCAGCGCCACGGCGGGTGGCGACGACACGGCAACGTCTCAGGCCGCCAGTCGCAACAACGACTCGTCGACTCCTGCGACCGAAGAGGTGGCGACGGATTCCTTGCCGCAGTCCGTGCATTCGAGCAAGTGGAAAGCGGGGGCGGGAGAGTCGGAAGCAAGAGCGGCGCCGGAGGAAATCGGTGCGATGAAGCGGCGCCGGCCCTCCTGCATTAGGGGGCCGCGGCTGATGCGTGCTCGCCATGTTGCATTGGTCACGCAGAAATTACATGCGTGCTGGTCTGGCAGGCCATTGCTACTTAGTGGGTGAGAATTCCCTTGTACTGCTGCGTGTCCATGCCATGGATATGCATATCCAGCATGCGGCGGCCATATCCACGCCATGAGCGCCCGTATCTTGGGATACGGACATATCCTGGATATTTTCCAGCATATGCACTTTTTGGGCGACCGTATTAAAACTTTACACGTTATCATGCAAAGAGGGCAGTCAACTATTTTGTACTTTATTTGAGCGCATAAGTTCTAATTAATTATAATGGCGTTTTGCATTATTGTCTGTTCAATTTGTCAGGGCAAGCAACCGCGCTGTAGTTTGCGCACTGCTCAAGTTCCTAAGTTGTTCGAATCATCCCATCATCCCTGGAGCCTACAAAAGGCAGGCTTTCGGCGTGTTTCTGTCCAAATATGTCCTCTTTTTACACAGTCTCTTTAAGTTCTCGGCCGGGAACTGCCCGCCGATAGTTTAAGGAAAATAGTTAATCACTCGGTTTGGAGCATACATGAATAATCTGCAACACAATTTAAGATGAATATTGTGTATTATGCAAATTTGAAATAACACAGTGATAGCCGTCTTTGTTTAGAGATGACCCTGTGTCGCTTTTGGTGCAAGCATCAGGTATTTTTAATCACCCCTCTTAGCGTCAATCCTTACGTCGATGCCAGGATGACTCAGCACCATTACCTAGTAGCCTGACTCAACTTTTAAGACTCTTTTGAGGACAGTCATAACAAGAGTTTCAGCGGTTTTAGAGGACTGTAGTGTGGGTCTCTAAAGCCCACAGCAAGCAATGGTGGCAGCCCCGGAGGTTCTCAATTCAGATGATATGGGGGTTTCCTTGAAGATTGAACGTTTCAGGTAGCTTTTTGAAGTAATTCATAAGTTGTCTGCCACTGATCAGGTGCGCTGTGGGGATGTCCCTAGATTATGTCCTTTTTTTGGAAATTAACATGATCCCCTAGTGCCATAGATCTGGAACATCCCCCCCCGCGCCAGGTGACGCTTCAGCGGCGCAACTTCAGGCAGCGCGCGCCTTCCCTTATGCAATTTTGCGCCAATGCGTGCTGCACACAGCGCAACGGATTTCGCACAAGGAAAAAGGGTAGCAGGGCTCGTAAGGATTTGCCAAAATATTGCCCATCCGCTGGATGTCACAGACTCTCAACTAGATATCTAGACAATGAAGTAGGTATTTTAATATCTGGGTGACTGTGCTTATCTTTTTACGAAACAACTGAACAATTCATCCATCGTCTCGGAAACAAATCCATGCTCCTAACTATTGGCGTATCTGCGGGGAAGGAGTGGAAATGACCAAAAATACGCAGAACCTGGCCGCAGATGGTTTGGTTGTCGATGCGCGTGCCGCTGGGCAGTGCACCGGATTCCACGTCGCGAAGCCTAAGCCTTACCGCATCGATGTAACTTGTGGTCACTATTTTGTTATATGTTCTGTATATTTTGTGATATATTTTGTATCATATTTGCTGTGCACCGCCGATAATGTCGGAATCTTGCCCGAGTGCGGTGGTGACACAAATTGCGCGAGTGCCGCCCAGGTGATGAGCCTCCTGACGAGGAAGACCTTCTGCCCGTGGTGCATGCGCTGCAACAAAAGATACAGGAGCTGGAGCAGAGGGGACCCACGGAAGACATGCGCCGACAAATCGGGCAGGAGATGAAAGACGTCATCGAAGCGCAGCTGCTGACGGAGATGACGTCGCAGGGCACTGTGGACTACATCCGGAGCCTTGAGGCCCAAATCGCGCGGTGCGTTCGTGCCTTGATTGGCTGGCATATCAGTTGTGCACGAGTGGAATGTGAAGAGAATGTGGAAATCATCGGCAAAGGATGTGAATGTGTTGTGACTAGAATGCCAACAGAGCGTTGGCCAGAATGTCTACAAGCAGGAATTGGGATCCACGATCTACTCCGGTACTTCGAACACGAGGTGTACTAATTATCCACCACTTCGAAATTCAACGAGGCTTCTACAGCCATTGAATCGACTTAAATGTAACCAAAATTATTGTTCTACATTGGATATTTGCTTTATTGATGTTCTTTAGTACTTTCCTAATGGGCTGATAGTGTTTGATGTGGGCATTCTCATGCTAGTGTATGGCGATGCAATGTGAGGCCATTGAAACCGCCGATGAACGGGCAAAATGCGGTGAAATATTCAACCCTTCCCTCATAGTAACGTAATGCCTGGCCCTTTTCTGCTGACAAAATTGACAAAATTTTCGCGGAGCAACAGAGAAAAATAACTCTCTGAAAAGAAAAGTGCGGAGCAAACACGTAACTGTAACATGCTTTGATGCGGAAGGGTTGAATACGGTTAATGTAGTGTGCCGTTCGCGCAGGTACCGGGTCGAGATCCAGAACGAGCGGCGGCGCAACTTCGACCTGCAGACGGCCCTGAGGTCGGCGCAGCGCAGGACGGACAGCGCACGTAGCGGCCCGTGGCGCGGGCGGAGGGACGGGCCCCAAGGGACCGCCTGGGCGACGCCCAGGAGCCGACCAGCCTCCTCCCCCGGCAAGCACACGGGTAGGCCCGCCACCGCGGGCCCGGCGGTCCTGTCCAGCGGCGCATTGGCTTTGAGAAAAGATCGGATTGGATCGCAGCCGGGATGCGGCTTCGGATCAAGAGGGGGGCAGATCCGGTCACAGTCGGGATCGGGATCAGATCGGGCTGTGGACTGCCTTAAGTTCCAAATGTGGGAGCGGGGCGGGTCTGGAGCCCTGTCGGAACGAAGCAAGGGGGGTGGGGAGTCCAGCGTGCCTGGTAGCGGCGTGGCGTGACCAAAGCGGCTGGTGGGTGGGGCCTGTTGCGGCCTGCTGGCTGGAGGTGTGGCGGGGTTTGGTAAATGAATGGCGCGCTGGGTGGGTGTGCCGCTGTTTGCAGTGATGCGCTTGAAAACGTGGAGCTGCCCATGCCCCCGAAACAGTACACAGTACTGCAGTACATTCTGCTGTACTTTTTGTGCTATCCTACCTTGCTGTTTCGTACCGCATTGCGCATTGCGCTGCGCCGAAAGTTACCATTCACGTGCTGGACCGTCCTGCTGATGCGCTGCACGATCAAGTACAAAGAATTACCGAAACTGTCAGCAGCATTCACCGTTTAAGAATGGGGCCGAAATATGCAGTCTCAGCCTTGATCAGATCCCCACGGGATCATCCCGTTGTTGCCAACTGTTGCCCCTGGGTCTCAACCACCTAACTTGATGAACACACCTAATGGCCATCTTCCTCCCAACGGGTGCGTCCTTTGCCCCAAACACGACTGGCATGGCTTCAAGACACGCTCCGCTGATCCCTTGTTCAGGGAGGTCCCTGACTCCCAAGTCGGTGCTGATGTTGCAACCCGTTGAGTGAAACCGTGGCGTCGGTCAGGTGCCGATGGCGTCATGGTTTTGGTCAGGAAGCAGCGCCAAGCCCACTGCCAAGCCAGTTGATCAGCTGACAGCCTTCACCTTGTTGCCCCCCGGTGCTGTACAACGGCTCACAGAGCATTAGGACCTAAGTCATCTCTCGCTTAGTATAGCGCCATCATGGCCTGAGGCACGCAGCCCTCCACGCCATCCCGCCCCCACGTCAGGTTCACCGTCGCCCCCACCTGGCGCCCGCAGCCCTTCCTCCAACACCCGCAGGGAGCCCCCCAGCCTTCCAACGACCGCCAGCACCCAACCCCTCCCCAGGTTGCTCCCACACGCACCCGCAAACCCCCGGCCTTTCCGGCGCCACATTTTCTTGCTGCTGGGCCAACAAAGGGCGCAATCGCGGAATGGCGCCACCGGAGGGCTGGCCGTGGTGGCAGCGGCCTGCCTCCGCCGCAGCGGACAGCAGGTTCGCGGGGTGCGGCTACAGGACGGTGGTGAGCACACAGTGCTCGGTGCAGCCCGACGAGGACGGGAATCCGCAGAGGAGATGTGAGCGGATCGTGAAGAGACTGAGGGAGTGCCCCGGAAGGTGGGTACAGACCACGCCTGCTGATGCGGGGGGTCAAGCTGGCGAGATTGCCGAGCCTGGATCTCGCGCTGGATTGAGAATCTCGCCGAGTCCTGCAAGACGGCGCATGTCGCGGGCACGGAGCTGGCCGACGGTCTTGGCTTGGTGGTTGCGGGGAATTGCGGTTTCGGTGTTATTGTTGTGATCGCGTGCCCTGGTCCCTTATGCTGTTCCGGGGGCTGATGGGGGGAGAATGGTGTTCGATGGGCAGGCCGGCGGAGGTGCTGCAGCGGACGGAGGAGTCAAGCACGGAGGCCAACTACCGGGATGTCGGGAAGGGCCTGCAGATGTGAGGCGGATGGGATTCACCCCATGGGATTCTCCGCTGTGGCTCGTGGCGGGCGATGGCCGCCAGTGCGAAAGGAAAGCGGGGGGCCGGGCGCCGGAGAGGGGCAAGCCCGGCGGGCTGGGCGGGGGCCTCGGCTGCGATCGACGCAATTCACGTCGAGGGTGATAGGGCTTGGACGAAAAATTCGGAATGTGATGCGTGCCGGATCGCCCGCGGGGGGGGGGGATCGGGGATGCGTGTGTCCGGGGGAAAGGGCCGAATAGCGGCGTTTGTGGCGACTGATGCGTGTGATGATGGTGCTGGGGACAGGCCCGGGCGGTTCGACGGCGGCGAGGAGGGCCACCGGGGGCAGATTCTGGGTTCTGA